CTCTCTCTCTCTCTCTCTCTCTCTCTCTCTCTCTCTCTCTGTCTCTCTCGAGACAGGGTCTCCCTGTAGCCCCAGCTGGCCTGGAACTTGCTATGTAGACCAGACTGGCCTCCATCTCACAGAGATCCACCTGCCTCTGCCTCCCAAGTGCTGGGATTAAAACTATGAACTACCATGCCTGGCTGCTTGTTTTGTTTTTTGAGACAGGGTCTCACTTTTTGGCCCTGCCTAGCCTGGAACTCACTGTATAGCCCAGGCTAGCGTTGATTATGTAATAGTCTCCTGTGTTAGCTTTAGTGTTAGGACTACAGCTGTAAACTACCACATCCAGTGTGCGGATTAGTTTTGTCAACTTGACACAAACTAGAAACACCTGGGAACAGAGCGCCTCAGTGAGGAATTTCTCCATCAGACTGGGCCATGGGCATGTCTGTGGGGCATTGTCTTGATTACTAATTGATTAGGAGGGCCTGGCCCACCATGGGTAGTACTATCCCTGGGCAGGTGAGCCTGGGCTGTATAAGAAAGGTAACTGAGCCAGCCAGATGTTTTTGGTAACATTTACACCAATAGGAAATCAGAGTCCATCCAGGGAAAAGCAGAGTTCTCCAACACCTCATCCATCTTTACCCTTCATGCAGTAGTCATGTTAGCCCAGCAGAAAAGGAGATTTGTAAAAATACACTCACCAAGAAGAATCTAACTCCGTTTTTAGAGCGTGGGACTGTGTAGCACAACTGAAGTGTGCACTTTTAAGCCTCAGCACCATTCATTGCTATTGATTTTTAAAATAAGAATTATAATAGCCAAATAAATTTAAATTGTACACAGGCAGACCTTATTTGATTAATTAAAAGTTAAAATAGTGGGTTCGCTCTGGGTCCACGCCGCCCGCCCCGCGTCCTCCGCCGCCGCCGCCGCTGCCATGGGAGTGCAGGTGGAGACGGGCGCACCTTCCCGAAGCGCGGCCAGACCTGCGTGGTGCACTACACCGGGATGCTTGAAGATGGAAAGAAATTTGATTCCTCCCGGGACAGAAACAAGCCTTTTAAGTTTATGCTAGGCAAACAAGAGGTGATCCGAGGCTGGGAAGAAGGGGTGGCCCAGATGAGTGTGGGTCAGAGAGCTAAGCTGACGATCTCTCCAGACTATGCCTATGGAGCCACTGGGCACCCTGGCATCATCCCACCACATGCCACTCTCGTGTTTGATGTGGAGCTTCTAAAACTGGAATGACAGAAGTGGCCTCTTTCTTTAGTTCTCTGCACATGGATCTGCCATGGAGGGATCTGGGGCCTCCGAGACGTGTGCACATGAATCCATGAGGAGCTTTTCCTGATGTCCCACTCCACTCTTTGTATAGACATCTACCCGACTGAATGTGTTCCGTCATTCAGCTTTGCTTCAGACACCTCTGTGTCCTCTTCCCTTTTCTTGTATGTGTTGACCTAAACGATATGCCATAAACCTCAAGTTACTCATTTTGTTTTGGGGTGAAGATTCAGTTTCCATCTTTTGGATCTAGGTTTCCAGTTAAGTATATTGTCAAGTATTAACAGCACAAGTGGTGGGTTAACTTTAGAATAGGAATTGGTGTTGGGGGTTGGGTTTGCAAGAATTTTTTTATTTTATTTTATTTTTTGGATGAAATTTTATCTATTATATATTAAGACATTCTTGCTGCTGCGCTGCAAAAGCCATAGCAGATTTGAGATGCTATTGAGGGCTGGATTAGTCTCCAGTATGAGGAAGGTCCTGTTAAGTTTGAAGCCTTACCCAAACTGAAATGGGGGGAGGGGAGCTTTTGCCTCTGCCAGGGCCTCCCACCTTCCCTTGAAACCCTCTGCCTTTTAAAGTAGGTCCCATTTCACTGCCATGTTGGACACTACAGGTATCTGTCCCTGGGCTAGTGGGGATCTCTGAAGGCTTCTTTGTGACCTGGCTTAATTTTTTTTTTTTTCATCCTATGGTTTTTCTAATGAATTTTCAGGACTTTTGTAATCTTGTAACTATCCAAGCTCCACTTCCTAAATTTTAAGAGCTTTAATTGAAAGTTTAAATTGAAGGTGCTGTTTGTAGACTTACCACCCAATGGATGTCCAGTCATCATGACAAATCCTTGAGTGTTCTCTAAGAAAATGATGCTGGTCATCACAGCTTCAGCATCTCCTGGGTTTTGATGCTTGGCTCTCTGCTGATCTCAGCTTCCTGGCTTTTCCTCCCTCAGTCCCTTCTTACCCTTGCTGTCCTGTGTAGTGAATTGGTGAGAGAAATTATGCTTTTGTCTCCCCCCCCTGCCACCACATATGAGTTTGGAGAGATGGCTCAGCAGTTAAGAGAACTGGCTGCTCTTGCAGAGGACTTGCAGCACCCACATGGTGGCTCACAACCACCTGTAACTCCAGTTCAGGGGATCTGACACCCTCCTCTGACCTCTGTGTGCACTGCATACACATTTACATGCATGCAGGCTAGATTACGACAAACCTTTTTGCAGACCGTGAACAAAAATAGTGCAGTCATACCTCCCCTGCCTGGACCCTGGGAGAGTTAACAAAGTTTCCACACAGTGGAGATTTGCCTGTCTTTTAGAAACACTTTGTATAGAAATTTTATTTTTAAAAGTCTTATTCTGCTCTTCCTTCTTAGTCATAGATTTGTTTTCATGTTTCAATGACAAGTCTCTTTTCCTGACTATCAGGTTTCATGTTTTAAACATATAAATGCTTTAAGGACCTCTAAGGTCAACATAAGTTCCCCCTTGCCTGCTCTGTAGAGGGGCAGCACACAGCCCTGGACAGGCTGTTTTGGCTCTGCCTGTCCATTCCTTATCCCAGAGTTCTGGCTCCATGTTGTTATCAAAGGATTCTGTGGGAAAAGGGCGTTTAATAAAAGGCCCTCACTGGCCACTCACAGAAGCCAAGCTGTGAGTAGGTCTTGGATGAGGGTCCTGAGTAACTCATAGGGTAAATTGTGGCCTTCACTATAGTTCTCTGTAGTGCTGAGAAAATGGAAACACCACAGACAGGGTCCACAAATACAAATTCATTTAAGGTGCCCTGGCAGTTTGGTGGTTTTTTTTTTTTTTTGGAGACAGGGTCTCCTATAGCCCCAGCTGGTCTGGAACTCACTGTGTAGACCAGGCTGGCCTCAAATTCACAGAGATCCACCTGCCTCTGCCTCGCAGTGTCCTGGCATTTTGGAATGTGAGCAAAAAAATAGATGGGGCTCAAAGGCAAGCAAGAAGGTAATTAAGAAAATAAATGCTTTTCATGAAACGTGTTAACTGAACATTCAAAGGCTGCATACATTGTGATGGTGTGAGGTATCAGTTCTCATGGTTCCTTAGATGACCTTTAGGCAGTGTGTCCCGACCTCCTTGGCCTAGTCAGGGCTTTTATCTCTGCACTGTTTGAAATGCGTTCTGAAATTTGCCTAGCAGTGTCCATGTTCCTGTTCTCTCTGATGTCAACCAGTAAAGGACTCAGAGACATGGAAGTCATCATCAGGAGGCACCTGCCCTGATGGCACCTGCCCTAGTTGGGAAGTGGGAAACAGTAAGCAAGGTAGCCAAAGGAATCTACAGGAAGTAAAGAAGGGCTTTGTGGACTCCCTGATCAGAAAGTTGACCACCGAGAGGGAGAGGGTAAGAGGAATAGGGACTGCCTTGAGCTTCTAGGAAGGAACAGGCTGAGGGAAGCAGAGCAGCCCTGCCCAGGGACCCCTACAGGGGAGGTGGTGTGGCTAGATGCTCTCAAGACCCCTCACACCCATAGAGCTTCTGTTCATGCGAGCTTAGTGATCATTATGGCCACACTTGAAATTAAAAGAGGAAAGAAAGAAAAAAATGAAAAAAAGTCAAGAAAATTTGGGATGTGTTTTTATGAATTCAGTAAAAAATAATAAACTGGGGCTGGAGAGATAGCTCCGCAGTTAAGAGCACTGGTTGTTCTTGCAGAAGACCTGTGTTTGAATCCCAGCATCCACATGGTAGCTAACAACTATCTGTAATTCCAGTTCCAGGGGATCTGACACCCTCTTCTGACCGCTGCCAGTATTTCACGACACAAGTGTACTTAAACACATGCAGGCATAACACAACACTCAGACACATAAAATAAAGATAAATAGACACAAAAATAGTAAGCTGCCAGATGTGGTAGCTCACATCTGTAAACCCAGCAGGAGACAGAAGACTCACTGCAAGGTGGAGGCCAGCATAGTCTACGTAGTATGTTCTAGGACAACCAGGGCTACATTCCAAGATTGTCTCAAAAAAGAAAATTAACTAATAATAAAGCTGTTAAATATTGATAGAAGTTAACATTTTTATGAAAATTGACTTATTTCCTAAGCAGTCTTTAGTGAGAAGAGTTTTCTGTTTGTCTTCTATTTTGCAGATGTATTGTCAGGCTTACTAGAGGATAGCTGGGGTCTGTGTACATCTACACCGGCCTTGGCCTTGGGTTGCTGTGATTGAATATAGGAGGGGTATGGTTGGGGGCCACATCTTAATGATCTTTCCAAAGAATCACAGACATTTACCAGAACTTAATAATTGGGTAGTTTATTAAAGCTCAATCTGCATGTGACTCTGAAACAGTGTCAGTGAATCGCTGGTCCATTTTATTCCATAAAATTCCAGTGGCTGCCTGGTGTGGTAGTGCACACCTTTGACCCCAGCAGTTGGGAGGCAGAGACAGGTGGCTCTCTTGTGAGTTCAAGGCCAGCATGGTCTATATATCGGGTTTCAGACCAGCCAGAGCTACATAGTAAGACCCTTTCTCCAACTGAAAAATAAAATCCAGTGGTCTGCTTTGCACTTGGAACGATATTTGTTTTTTAATTTAATCATTTGGGAAACGCCAATTGGATGAGTTACACAAATGCTCTAAGATACTTGGCCAGTCTTGGGTGCATCTGTGTGTGTATGGGGTGTGTGTGTGTGTGTGTGTGTGTGTGTGTGTGTGTGTGTGTTCGTTCCACCATCATCACTGCCACTGATCTTTTCAGCTTTTCAGTGATAGATAAAAATTTTCTGAACTTTCCAGAACACCAGACTGTCATGCAGAACTGTGCTTGACCCCTGCTTCGTTGCACGCCAGCCCGACAGTGATGCTATAAACCAGCTTCTTTATCTCTGTTGTCTTGTTAAAAATTAAATGAAAAGGTGTCATTATGTATAGTTTTCAGTGTGATGCCTGATCCAGTAACTGTTGGCATTACAGAGTCCGTTTCTGTCATCATGAGTACTGTCATGTGGCTCGTGTTAGCTATAGGCCAGAGTGAGGAATGCAAAGGGCTTGTGCCTAGGTGATCACCCTTGCCCCACACATCTAACCAAACTTGTTTTTCAGTGATCTTTGGGCTGATGCCAGTTGCTAGGTGTTGGGCAGCTTGCTAGAGTAGACAGCCTCCTGAGTGCTCCCCCTGTAGAAAGTTCCAGGCAGTGGACAGACAAGAGGAAGTCCCTTCTCCCATCCCTTACCTGTCACACCTGCTTCTGTAGCGACACCCTCATCAGTCAGTGCCTTACTGTTTACTGCTTACTCTCTCTCCCCCTTTGCCCAGCAGAGCCTGGCCCTCAGTCATTGGTGCTTAGTATTTGTTGATGTGTGCATTCAGAAGGGGTTTGTTGTGAATACTGTTCTTGGTGTACTTGGAAAGAATGAAAAACATACTTTGTCATACCAAACTTGTGATCTCAGCAGTAACCAGCTGTGGGGCTTCCCCCCTCTTTTTACTTGTTTAAGGAGTATTTAACATCTCTTCACCCCATCCAGCTATCTTTTCTTGAACTTCTGTTAGTTCAAAATAGAAATAGAAGAAGGCTGAGCAGTCTCTCCTGGGCCTTGTGGGTTAAGCATCTTTGTGATCGATAGGCCTTCTCTCTGCCTTTCAGATGTTCCTCCTGCGGATCAAGAGAAGCTTTTTATCCAGAAGTTACGTCAATGTTGTGTCCTCTTTGACTTTGTTTCTGACCCACTGAGTGACCTGAAGTGGAAGGAAGTAAAACGAGCTGCATTAAGTGAGATGGTAGAATATATCACCCACAATCGGAATGTGATCACAGAGCCCATTTATCCAGAGGTCGTCCACATGGTAAGTGATGGTGCTTTCAGTAGCATGTCTCCATCTCAGCTGCAGCAGAGGACCACTGAGACTTCTAACCCAACCCAGCTGGATGCAGGAGAACCATTCCCCCAGATTTATACCTGACCCAGGAAGAATGAGATTTCTCAGCCTTGTGTCCTAGATTATCAGATGGTGATGGTGAGAGGGGTTGGTTGCCTCTGCCTAACCTGTACCACTTCCCTGCTGGGTAGGAGTGTGAGAACTTCTTTTGTACTTTCTATTGGCTCTTCTCTAACGTTAACATAACATTAGGAGTACTCTCATACAGTTTAGAAGTAGGCGTGTTGCCTGTCCATGTGCAGGGAGATTCTAATACTCAGCAGAAAGTAGATGCTGTGGAGGGACCATCAAGATTGTGGGGGAACCTTTGTTCTTGCCTTGGTCTTAACTCTCATGCACTGTGGAAGTCCACCTCTACCCCGGAACACAGGGAGCAACACCAAGCATTTCCTCCTGCAACTTTCCTGGTCTTGTTCTTCACATTGTTTTATAATCGGTCATCTTGAAGCTGCTTTTTAGTGGTATAGGTTAGGCATATAGATGCATTTTCTTCTATAGTTAACGGATTTTTATATCACATTTAGAATTCTTTTCTTCCATTCACTTAAGATGCTTATTATGTATTGAACTATTTTCATTTTCTTAAGGCAGGATCTCACTATGTAACCTTGACTGGCCTGGCACTCACTATGTAGACCAGGTTGACCTTGAACTCACAGATTCCCACCTGCCTCTGCCTCCCAAGTGCTGGGATTAAAGGCATGAGCCACCATGCCCAGCCATATTGTCCTTTAAAATTAAATCTTTTTCCTGGTACCTATTAAATGTGTAAATTAGTTAATTTTCCATGTGGGAGACAAGTTTGAAATAAGCAACCAGTACTGGGTGGTTTCAGATGACAGTGATATGAAGGAAAGTGACCCAGGATAAGTAGCTAAAGGTGCGGGGCTGGGGATGATTTCTGCCCTGTCCTTGAGGTCAGGAAAAAGAGCCAGAACAAAAACAGTCATAGTCAGGCTGTCATCACGGGGCAGGGCCCTGTGCTTTTTCTCTTCTGCACTGATGGTGCATTCAAGAGAATCAAGTGTTCAAACATGACCCTGTGGAGAGCATTTCAAACCCCAGCCATGACGGACAGCACTGATGGAAGGTTCAGTGAAGAAGGAAGAGAGTGGAGTCAGGTGGGTCTTGGCCATAGTAAGTGGCCCTCTGAGACAGAGAACATACTGTTCAGGCAACTGACCAAGGCCGCCACCCAATGGGACCTGCTTTCACGTGCAGGTGGGAAAGTCTGGCCTTTTTGAGGTCCATTCTGTGTAGTCCTGGCTGTCCTGGAACTTATCATTTTTGTTTCCCCAGAGGAAATCTCATCTCACACCCACCACACCCACCATCCCTGAGGACCTGCCTTTCCACTTTCTGGCTCTGTCAGTTGCCTAGTAGGACTTTTCATGAGATGGACTTACACAGCATGTGTCTTTCATGACCGCCATCTTCACTCTGCGGAGGGCTTTATTTTAGTTTTTTTAGTTGTAGCCTATGCTTGTATTTCATACCTTTTTTTAAGACAAAAAAAATTGTCATAATATTCTGTTATGCAGATACACTGTGTTTATGTATCCATTCATCAGCTGGTGAGCATTGGGTTATCTCTGAATTTGAATCCCCATGCATAAAATGTCTATGAACTAGCATTTGTGCACAAGTTTATCTGGTGTTCTCATCTCTAGGTATGCACTCTAGCAGTGGGGTGTGCTCTGTTTTCACAGTTTAAAAGGCACCGGTCTGTTTCTGAAGGGCTGCCCACCCTCCGCTCCTGTAAGCGGTCTCGGGTGCTTGAGTCCCCATGTCTCCAACACCATGTTGCCTTTCTTTTCCATTCTAATGTCCTTGTGACAGAACACGGCATCTCACTGTGGTTCGGATTTGCATTTGTCCGACATCTTTTCCAGGGTGCTGTGTGTTTCATACACCGTAGACATAAGCCCACAACAAACCAGAGCCTTACAGACCTTCTAGTGTGACCCTTTTCCTTTGCAGATAAAGAATCTTAGGTTGTGAGGAGATTAAGAGGCCACAAGATGGGGGAAGGACACATGGCCTCCAGGATCTCAGGCCAACATGACAAAGCTCTATCATCTCCTCATTTCAGACTTTAAGTGTAACCAGCCATTTGAGTTTTCAATTAAATTATCTAGTCAATCTGTTTTTCAGACTTGGACATTTTTCTAATGGTCAAAATGTTGATTGCTTGGGCTAGGCGTGTTGGTCCATGCCTTTAATCTCAACACTGAGGAGGCAGAGGAAGACAGATCAAGGTGAGCCTGGACTATGCAATGCATTCTAGGCCAGCCAAGGCTGCATAGTGAGACCCTGTCTCAGGGGAAAAAAAATGCTGATTCCAAAACTGAGTCACAGTGTATTTAAGACACTCAAAAGTGATCAAAGTGAGCTGAGCTGGAGAGATTGCTCAGCAGTTAAGAATGCATGCTGCTCTTGCAGAGACCCAAGTTCAATTTCCAGCACACATACACACAATTAAAAATAAAAATAAAGGAGTTGGAGAAATGGCTCAGTGGTTAGAGCACTGGCTGCTCTTGCAGAGGACCCGGGTCCGATTCCCAGCACCAACATGGCGGCTGACAACCACCTATAACTCCAGTCCCAGGAGGCTGACACCCTCCTCTGGGCTTTGCATGGCATGGGTGCACTTACACACAGGCAAAATGTTTCTACACATAAAATAAAAATAAATTTAAAAATTAATAAAAATAGGGGCTGGAGAGATGGCTCAGCAGTTAAGAACACTGACTGCTCTTGCAGAGGACCCGGGTTCGATTCCCAGCACTCACATGGCATCTACGAACTGTCCTTAACTCCAGTTCCAGGCGAATACGAAGCCCTCTTCTGACCTCCGTGGCATTGCAGAACACGGGTGCACTCACATACATGCAGGCAATACACTCATACACATAAAGTTAAAATAATAAATAAAATATTTTTTTTAATTAATAAAAAATAAAACCTTTTTTTTTTAGGCTGGGCGTGGTGGTGCACGCCTATAGTCCCAGCACTTGGGAGGCAGAGGCAGGCGGATCACTGTGAGTTCAAGGCCAGCCTAGTCTACATAGAGAGTTCCAGGCCAGCTGGGGCTACAGGGAGACCCTGTCTCAAAAAATAAAAAAAAAGTAATAAAGAGCGAAACTGCTTTGTTAACAGTATTTAAGGGGTTAAGCTTTGGAATTGAATCCTTTCAAAATCTGAAGAATGGATCTATGCCCTAATTTTTATTTTTATCTTTGTTTTGGGGGGGAGGGGTCTTTCTGAGACAGGGTATCCCTGTAGCCCCAGCTGTCCTGGAACTCACTGTGTAGACCAGGCTGGCCTTGAACTCACAGAGATCCGCCTGCCTCTGCCTCCGCAGTGCTGGGATTAAAGGCGTGTGCCACCATGCCTGGCACTTTATTTTTATCTTTTACGCCCCAATTTTTGCATGATTTCAAAGGCTTCAAGCCTTTTACAGTCTATAGTAGAACCCAAATTAAGAATTTTTGAACATCTTTTTTAAATCTTCTAAATCTGGATTCTCATCCAGACCTGTTCATCACAGGTTCCCGCTCCCCAAGGCCTTTCAGATCTGTGAGATCAGACATATTTCCGTGTGACAATATGACACTGACTCTTTCACTGTGTCAGCATTGCTCTAATGATGCAGGGTCCGTAGAACGTACATACCTGACAGTTTAGGAAGAAACCAGGCAGCAGCCCTCAACTGACTGGGGTGATCACATCTGTAAATCCACAGTAGAAAACACAAAACTCCAGTGGAATAGATTGATGTCGTTACGTCATGATCTTTTTTAAAATTTTTTAATGTGTATGAGTGTATTGCCTGCATGTATGTGAGTGCACCCATGTCGTGCAATGCCAGGGAGGTCAGAAGAGGGCTTCGAATTGATTCCCTTGGAACTGGAGTTAAGGACAGTTCATAGCTGCCATGTGGGTGCTGGGAATCGAACTTGGGTCCTCTGCAAGAGCAGTCACTGCTCTTAGCTGCTGAGCCGTCCCTCCAGCCCCTCCATCATGACCCTTTAATTCCCTGCCTTAGCTGATGCCGTCAGAGGGAAGGCACTTGTGAAATAAAGTTGCAGCAAAGCTTGCCACTCTCTGCATAACTTTTTGTACCTGAAAAATTACTGACAAAAAAATACCACAATTCAGACTTATATATTTAGCAGGTATTTCTCAGAAAATAAGGAAAGTAAGAGTACATTTTCCAGGGCTGGAGACATGGCTGGGGGCTGCAAGCACTGACTGCTCTTGCAGAAGTCTCAGATTCAATTCCCAGCACCCACATGGAGGCTAAGAACCACCCTTAACTCCAGTTCAAGGGGGATCCAAAGCCCTCTTCTGACCCCCAAGGCATTGCACGACATGGGTGCGCTCACACACATGCAGACGATACACTCATACACATAGAATAAAAATGATAAATAAAATTTTTTAAAAAGAGTACACTTTTGCAGAAAATAACTGATGGTATTTGTTGTTAATGATAACGTGAGCTCCTAAGGGGATTTGGGCTTGTGACATGGTAAAAGCATGGAGATTTTCAGTAGATATGATGGAGTGAGGCATCATTCGGGAGCTCGATAAGACCCACTCACCGTGCCAAGCCTGCCTGGTTTGAATGGAAGGAGTCACAGATCCTCCTCTGATAAGGTCTCTGTCCACACAGCAGCTCAAGCTGCAATAAATCACCACTGGTCCAGTTTAGTTGTAGTATCAGGGAAGTACAGGCTCTTAAATGTCCCTCCAATCTCAGTGCATACCTGGGGGAGGCCTGCCTCTATTAGCCAGAACAGCCTTCTGAACACAAGCCAACAGGATAATCCAGCTGTTTTCTGCTTTAATTTCTCATACAGCAAATATCAGTAGATAAAATTCTCATAAACAAAAGGTCTTTG